GTCCAGGGGCAAAGGGTAGAGGTGATAGGAAATTGATGCCTCTTTTTTTATCATTTGTACCAAATTAATAATTTTATATCCTCTTTTAGTGCCTGGTATAAGAAGGCTCAATTAATTTGTTCCTTTAGTTATGCAGGAAAAATTAGAATAGGTTGCTTTTAATTCTTCTAGCCAGCTCAGGCAGTCTCCGGACTTTTGATAGGGTACTGGCCATTACAGGGGTATAAATGTTGCGATCTGGAATGTTTCCCAAAGTCTCATGTATTATAAGCGTGGTCTCTAATGCAGCAATGTTCATAGGTGGAGTTTGGGGAAAGTGATTGTATCATGAGGGCTCTGACCTCATCAGTAGATTAATCCATTGATCACTGAATAGATGACTGGGAGGTAATGGAAAATGTAGGCAGTGGTGCATAGTTGGAAGAGGTAGGCCACTGGGGGGTCTCCATGGATGGATATTTCTTGTCACTAGTCCATCTTTCCTCTGTTTCCTGGTTGCTAAGCAGCTTTCCTTTGCCACACCCTTCTACCATGACATTTGTGACTTGTAGCCAGTCGACCATGGACTGAAACCTCTGAAACATGAGCCAAAATAAAACCTTCCTCCTTTAAGTTGTTTATGTCAGGTATTTGGGCCATTGTGATGAAAACCTGACTAATACAAGTGTAAGTACTAAGTGAAGGTTAGGTGGAAGCAGAGTAGTTTGTAGAATTTATGGAAAAATTACATTATAAGGAACTTATTTTCTATTGAAAAATCACCAAATCACAGGGTAAACATCAATCAAGGCATTTACAAAGTAGAAAATTAATACAATTTAAATAGGATATTTTAGCACAAAGAGCAAATCTGTCTGAATGTGCTCCTTAGAACTCATCCAGGGTTTCAGGCAAAAAGCTAACTGGAACTGGGGCTTTGCCCTTCTCACAGAGAGATGGGTTGCACCCAAGCTTAACTTCCCATGGGAATTATTTCCCTCACAGGAGAACTGTAATATCCCATTAAATCCAAAGTCCCATACAAGGCCTATAAACAGATGGCGCCCAAAATTCAGAGTGCCTGGCTTCAAGCAGCCTGAGTAGTCCATCACTGACAAGGTTCTTTTTAGGCTCACCAAAAGAAGGGAGAGCAAGGGACCAAGGGATCTTCTCAATGGAACCTGAAGGCACCTTTCAGGCCCAGCAAGGGCTTCTTCTCACCAATGCTCAATTAGCTAATACCAGCAGCACAGACCAACACTGAGCCCACAGTATGAAACCATTTCTCAAGGAGACCAGCCAGCCACTCTAGATTGATTACTTTGGTCCCTTCCACAGGGGATGTGTGACTGTGAGGCAGTAATTCATTCTTCCCAGAACTGCTTCAAACACTCAGGAAGTTTCCCTTCCCTATCTACACTTCCCCCACCAGCACCACCATTCAAAAGTTTATAAAGTAGTTATCTACTGAGATGGTATCCCAAACAGTATTGCCTAAAGCCAGGGAACCCATTTTACTACAATGGAGTTGCACATGACTATGAGAACCACTGCTCTCATTGTATCCCTCATCACTCAGAAGCAGGCAGCCAAAGCAGCAGGTAACTTTTTAGCTTTTAGATCATAACTTGGGGAGTTGAGGGTGACAATAGATATTGTTGGTCCCATGAATAGCCTCCATTCTGGTCACCATGAAAGACCCCAGGTAAGACCAGGAGAATTGCCAAGCTGAACCCACCCCAAATTGCTGCCTCATTGTATAATGAACAAATAAAGTGATTATTATTTTAGACTATCATGTTTTGAAATGGTTCGTTACATGACAATAGATTATTGATACAACAGGCAAGATCAAAAACATCTGAAATGGTACATAAGATGTGTCTGACATAGATAAAGAGAATACACACTAAATTCTGTCACATTATACAGAAATCTTCCAGGCTGTCTTCCACAGGGCTTACCAAGAAGTGGCAAAACCAGTTCTATGACTTATCACTTAAAAGCGTCCTCTAGCCTAAGTAGGGGAGGGGAGGGGGGATAGTAGAGGATAGGAAAGGTAGCAGAATACAACAGTTACTAATAGGGCATTATGTAAAAATGTGGATGTGTAACCGATGTGATTCTGCAATCTGTATTTGGGGTAAAATTGGGAGTTCATAACCAACTTGAATCTAATGTATGAAATATGATATGTCAAGAGCTTTGTAATGTTTTGAACAACCAATAAAAAAAGAGAGAAAATACTACAAGGGAGATGTTTATTAGTTACCTCTGAGAGAGTGTTGGAGACTTTCTTTCCCAGTGGGGAAGGGGAAGCTAAGCAAGGGGGGCTCAGAGGTGTCTTCAAGATGTATTTCTCTCTAGTTGCTTGATTACTGAACTGTAGTGATCTGTAAGTAGAATTGGAGAATTTTAGGAAAAAACTTGCCATGTATCTTTGGAGTTTGGAAGCCTGTATCAACATAGACACTGCTGCATACCTCTTGGAATTCTGAAGGAAGGAAGCTTGCTGAAGCAGCAGTGACATGTCTGTTCACCATGGCAAGACCACATAGGTTTCCCATGGATCCAATGAGTGTTACAGAAGGGGAAAAAAAGCTTAAGCCCTGTGCTTGCTTCCTGTCTGAGGCTCTGTCATTGGGTGAGGGAAACCTGGGGGTAAGATGCTATGGGTATTCTACAAGATTTGGGGTCTGAGAATAAGTTAGAAAAGATTCAGTCATGTCTAATAACTGAGCAGCGAAGAGATTCCTGAACAATCATGCTTATGAGTAAGCATTTGGATGCCAGTCACATACAAGCTACTGACAACCAAGAGAGGATGTATTGACACATTGAAAAGTAAAAGAGACTAGGTGCTAAGGAGAGAGAGGCCAGACAGAGGACTTCTCTCCTGGGACATGCTGATGAATCTTCCCAATGGGAGCATGAGTAGAAACCAAAAAAATAAATAAATAAATCAAGAGAGAAAGCTAATTTTAAACATCTGCCATGTCCACAGGGAACAAAGCTGTCTTTTGACAGTATCAGTAAAGCAATACTTTGGCCAGCTCAATTTCTACCCTCTTCACCCCTAGAGAAGAAGCTATGGTTATCAAGACAGGGGAGGTGAAGTAGAAGACTAAAGAAGAGAAAGGGTCATGCCCTTGAAGGAAATGGGTACATCCTTCCTGATGACTGGAATGTGATAAGGTACTGAGCCATTCTGGACCATGTAGACTAGGACAATACTCTAGGGATGGTGAATCAAGAAGACAGAAGGAGACTAACCTCAGCTTACTGTGTGGAACAGAGCTTCTATATTAGTACACATTTGCTATGTAATAAGCAAAAGTCCCAGTGCTATCCAATAACAAGTGTTTATTTCTCATTCATGGATTGGTAAGTTGGCTGGGGCTGCCCTGATTGGCATGACTCTGATCTTAAAAGTTTTCAACAAATATTTTAGCACAATGGTCTTCACTATGTGGGGTGTGACAGGAGTGAATGGCCCCCTTTCTGACCACATTCAGCTTCCCCAGGGAATGACTCTCTTGATGATGGAGCTTCTCTGCTTCAAGATGCAGACCAAGTTCAGCTCTAGCCCATGTATCTGATTCTCATCCCCAGGCTGAAGAGAGATTTGAAGCTCTTAGAGGGAGAGGTACACATCTTCCCATAGTGAAGTTGGATCTGGTTTGCAGTTTCCCCACTTTCAACTCCTGTTTGAGACATCATTACAAGTGGATGCTGCTTTCTCCTCAGTGGTCTGAGTTTTTCTTCCACAAAGCCCTTCTCTAAACATCTAAATTGTAATATTCCCAACATCTTCCTTTTGTCCCTCTCACTTTAGACATCATGGCTGCTTCCTGCAGTTGCCATCACGTGATACATTGAATTCTGTGGCATTTTCAGTTGCTGAATAATCAAATCTTTATATTAATTATGTTAAAATAATTAGAGTGGTTTGTTTCTTGACATTACTTTGACCAATTCATTGGACTAAAATCCTGTGCCTGTGAGATGCCCCTCAAAAACTTTTGCATTGAGGTATTGTCATGGCATCCTCCCTCTATATCTGTCACTCCTCTCTGTATTCATTTCTATGAGAATTTACTGTGGTAAACTATCATCACTGTTGTCTTTCTTCTCCATTCCAAGCCAACAGCTCTCCAAATTCAGAGTATATTAATTTCTTCAGCTCCTAACACAAAAAACTCTGAACACATGCTTGAATAAATGAATGAGCTAGCAAAAATAAAGCAGGAAAAGGAGTTATGTAGCACAAAAATGAAAGAGAAAGTTAGATGATGTGAGAAACAGGAGGCCCGTTGCTGCCAGCTGTGAATCCAGCTTTAAGTTCACAGGAAGCTCTTGTTAAATAACATGAACCAAGAACAAGATGAAGAGGCTCCTGAGATTTCAAAGAAATTTCTCACAACGAGAATAGGGAAGAGCAAAGGGCTGGAGTATTCCCGGGGACGCAGAAGTGTGTTGGACATTTGAGCTTCTGAAGGATGACCAAGCCCTAAGAGATGCCTCTCACTATGTCACCTGGTCCTGCCAAGCCCTTCACCAGGTTTCACTCCCAGTCCCTCCGCCGCCCGCCTCTAGAGAAAACAGGTAAAACCCGGAGAACTGGGTCCCGCCCTACGGTCATTCTGGGCATGCGCTATCCCACGCTCCTGCGCAGGCGTACTAACTTCCCCCTTGTAACCGGTGCTGCCCATTTCCGATATGGGGGAGCGTTTGCTCTGGCTAATTTATCACCTTTCCTGTGGTCCCCCGCCCTATGGTTCCTGTGGGGTAAGCCTCGCGAGATTGCCTACGGCAGTCCCCGGCGGCGCCATCTTTGTGCCTGGCGAGCGACGGCTCCCGACGGAAGCCCTGAAGCCAGCGGCTCGCCTGCCAAGCTATCGCGGAGACCGGATCCAGGAAATACTAGGCGGGCCTCGGTGGGAGGGACGCACTGAAGGAGGAGGGAGGGAAGGGGGCGGCGGCGGCGGCGGCGGCTCACACCGGATCCGGGCTCTGCGCGGCGCGCACCCGAGGGGGTTCGGGCGGGGAAACGGCTCCGGCCCGGACCCCCCCTGCGGGAGCAGACGACGGGCGTGAGGGCGAGGCGGCGGCTGCGAACGAGGAGCTGCGGTCGCTGGGTGAGTGTCCGCGAGGAGGCCCGGCACCTGCCGGTGCCAGGGCGTCGATGGTGCCTCGGGGTCGTCCTGGTGATCTCGCGCCTAGGACGGTGGGCGTGTGCGCGACTGCGGGTATCCTGCGAGCTCGGCTTGGCCTGGAGCTGAGGCTGCCACTGGGAACTGCAGGGCTGCCGGAGGTCTGCGCAGGGCCTGGCGCGTCCGTGCCCGCCCGGGACACCCCGAGAGGCGAGAGGCGGAGGGGAGAGGGAGTGGCCGGTGGGGGGGGGGGCTTGATTGGCGTTCGTCCCCGGAGTGAGGGGATGATGTCCTCCTTCGCGGGTTCCTACCTCTGCACCGGTTTGACACCCTGGCAATGTATTTGGTGATGAGGACTAGCAGCACATAAGGTTAGGTCTGTTGAGTGTGTTGAGACATGTGGAAAAGGTTAGTAGTAATAGTAATAATTGTTAGCAAGTGTCGAGTAAAGAGAAAACATTGTCTGCGTTCATTTAAAGATCACATAAGCAGTACTCTGAGGTCCAGCAACAGACTAGAATTATCCCAGTTGGACTTCTTTAGTTTAGTACCGTGTGCCTGCCTATAAAGTGCATAAAAGCAGGATGGGGGGGTGCGGATGAGATGGGGACAAGGTGAGGAATAAACTGCATGAAAATCAAAAGTTGGTATTGTTGATGTGTTAAAATATAAAGCATTTTCTGTCTTTACGAAACGTTAAATTCTTTAAAAAAATTAGCTACCTTTGGTCGAGACAGAGCTTTTCAATTTGGTGTGTTCTTTATTGACGTTTGTCTATCAGACAGTAATTTTGGTGTATTATATATTTACTAATGGTTTGTAAAAGGATAGGAATGAGTGGGATAAAAGAACAGTTTGACAACTGAGCTCCCTATACCCACTTTTATTTTGGAAAGATAGGAGAGTTTACAGAAAGTAAACTCTTTGCTTTTGTACTGATTTGCAATAGTAAACAAGAGCATGTGTAAGAAAAAAACATTTTTTGATGAAGAAAGGGCTTTTGAGATGAGAGTTTAATTTTGCAGTGTTAAATTATTAAAAGGCATCACCAACCATGGTACATTTTGTCACTTTGCCTTTTTATGAACACTGGAAGAATGCAAACATATACTCATAATTTTAAGCCCACGTGTGATAGAAATTTTTTACAACTTTAGATCCCCTCACCCCATTAGCATACTTGGCTCAGTCAAGGGAAAATTAAACTTCAGTGAAGGTAAATATTAAATATGATTTTCATCTTGACAGCTAACAGAACATTACCTGTGTTCACTCACCCTGAATTTTCTTCCTTATGTTTATTTGATACATTCTTCTCCTTAATTATAGACCATTCTATAGTTTGTGCTGGAGCTAACACAGAGTATGTTCAGGCACTGGGCTTAGTGTGTAATGTGCATTTGCATTAATCCTTGAAGCTACCCTATGTAAAGATAATCTTATACATGTTGCACAGATATAGACAATAACCTCCAGTATTCTGTAACTTACGTGGGTAGTTAAGGAGATCATATAGCTGGTAAATTGCAGAACTAGAACTCAAACTAATTCTAGAACATATGCTCTATCATATTCTGCATAAGTTTATGTGCTGACTAATACAAATTTTATGAAAATGGGAATTTTTATTACAAAGAAACCTTTCAGTTCTGTTGGTAATCTTGAAAGCTTTCAGTGTCCTTGACTCAATATAATCTTAAGGTTCTTTTTTTTTTTCCTTTTCAAATGTGTTCGTTTTCTACCCAGAGGTAATATTTGGGCAAAATTTCAGAATTTTGTTGATCTGTAAAAGATTCCTAATAACTCATAGTGACCTATCTGGAATTCAGATGTTTTCAGTAACTTTTCCTCCTATTTCAGCATGCCAAAATACTGCAAAGATCAGATATTTTCTACTCGGGAGGCCAAGGTAAGAGGATTGCAAGTTTGAGACCAGCCAGGCCAACTTAGCAAGACCCTATCTCAAAAAATAAAAAAGTGTTGGAGATGTAGCTCAATGGCAGATCACCCCTGTGTTCAATCCCCAGTACCCACACCCACACAAAAGATATTTTATTTGTTCTGATCCTTTACATTATTAAAATAGTAACTATTCATAGGGTTTTGGATTTGTTTTCTGGCACATTGGAGGTATATGCATACACCCTTACCATCTCTAGCAATTAGAGTACTTGGTAGCCTACCCTGTTTTTCTTCTCTTTAATTTAGTACAAAGGTTTTGGACTCAGGTCATGGTTTGTAGAAAATATGGCAGCTATTATGGGAAACAGCATAATCTCTTATGGGGATGGCAATGAAAAACTTTAGAGGTTCCCAGCAGTATCTGAGACGTTGATGAAAGCAGAAACATTGTGGGGGGTGTCACTTTTGTCTCCCACTGGTCTCTGCTGTTGCATCTCTGATGTGCTGTTGAGCCCTGTTGTCCTGGCCCTTATCTCTGCAAGAGAGAGGCCCTACATCTGGGTATCTGGGTAGAGTTCAACTGGAACAACAACTGTAGGAAAATAAAGGTATTAAGTGGCCCTCATCTCTAAAAGGTCATTTGGTCAGTTTTACCTGTGTGATTATCTCTGGCAGGAATTTCTAGAAAAGTTACGCAATTTGGGATTTGCTACTTCATCTTTTAAGAAGTAAATTGTTTGGTTGCCTTTAATGAGATAGTCATGTCTTCTAGAAATGGAAAAAGAAGTCTTGTGTTTTTCAGTACATAGCAGCATACATGTGTGTTACACAGAGTGTTGGAGTGGATTTTTAAATAATACCTTGGAGTCTTGACAGGCAGTCTCTTAGTCTGAATGAGCAAGTTTTTAATTATAGTTGTACTTCCAAGAATGAAGTTAAATGTAGTTCAGTGTGGTGGCACATGCCTGTAATCCCAGCAACTGGGGAGGCTGAGGCAGGAGAATTGCAAGTTCAAGGCCACTGGCCAATGAAGTAAGACCCTACCTCAAAATAAAAAGTAGGGCATGTTGCTCAGTGGTAGAGCACCCCAGGTTCAATCTCCAGTACCAAAAAAAAAAAAAAAAAGAGTACTTCTTTACTTGTGACAGTAATGACTCATGTTATTTGGGCTACGAGGGTGAAAAAATTGACAAGTGATAATGTAACTGAGAGCTTACCAAGTAAGAAAACCTTCCTGAAATGATTTATATTGTCACTATATAAAGAAAGACACCAGAAAATTGCCTCATGTATTTAGAAGTTTATTTTAATACTTTCTGCATAATAAAACCTCAAATTATTACCAGGGACACAGATATTTGTCTAATAGTGAAGTGGACCTGATGAAATATTTGTAACTGTCAAACTGAATCCTGAATATTTAAGAACATTTATTACAGTATAATTCATTGACAGGTCTATTATTTTATTTTTCCAATTCTCCAAATTCCCACTTCCCTCCCTACCTAAAATTTCTCATCTTATTTTCCTCCCTGTCTTCCTGCCTGCCTTTCTGACTGCCTCCATCCCTCCTTTCTTTCCTTTCTTTCTCTCTTTCTTTTTTTCTCCCTCCCTCCCTCCATCCCTCCCTCCCTTCCGTGGTACCAGGGTCCTTCCCCTTAGTTCTCTGAAGTGAATGAGAATAACCCAGGCCAGGGAGGTAGTGTCAAGACACCTACTACGGGTTTTCTTCTTCCCTTTCCTTAAGCATTAAGGAGGAAAGTTTGTAAAAAAAAAAAAAAAAAACCCTTGTGTTGCAGGAGCAGGCAATGTTCCCTCATCCTCTTCACCAGCCACCCCACTGTCATACTTTTTCCTCTTTCTTTTCAGCTTGATACTTCTCTTCTAAGTGTCTTGCCTTCCCAGTTCTGAGTCTTCTACTCTAGCTCTACTTTTTGTCCGCATTCATGCCTTACTTCCTGCTCTCCCTTGATCAGAGAGGCTGAGGCTGTGGTCCTAGAGAAGCTCAGATTCCCAGTTTGGGCTGGGAAGATTTCCTTTTTCTACTTTCAGGACTGAATGGGGCAGGGGTAGTTGCTTTTATCTGAAGTTGGAATGTTAAATGGGTTTTCCCATAGAAACATTGCTCGCACAGGTTAAATATTTTGTTATTCTCCTGTAACCTTGGTCAAGCTTTTGTGGGGTAGCTTGGAAACCTAGCACATTGACCATTGTTTCCAGAAAGCTGAGATCTGAGGTTCAAATAGATGATTTAAAAAATCAGCTTGTCACCAATCAAAAATAAATGAATGAAAGGAAGATCAGAGGAGGAATAGAGAAAGGGATGAGAAGAGTGAAAGTGGGGGAATTGAGACTGAAATGGAGTAAATAAAATTCCATATATCAAAATGAACCCAACTACTATGTATAATTATAATGCTCTAATAAAGAAATAAATATAAAAAATCAACTTGAGTCCCAGAAGTCACTGGAGATTGTCAGCATTTTGTGAATTACCTAGTGAGGTGGTAGGTATCATACCTTTAGCTATTCAAAATTAGGTTTGTTTTTCTAATGTACTGGCTCTTCTGGGAAATAATCTGATAGGCTTATTAGATTGTCAAAAAAGAATTTCTGAATTTAGGTACATGTTTTGAAATAAAATTTAAATTCAGTCCATTTCAGTTTGTTGTTAAAGAAGATCTTACAGTATTGTTGACAGTACAGAGTTTTAGTTTGTCATGAAAGGAATATCTTGTTCCTTTCTTGCTGATGTTTTGAAACTTTTCAAAGGTATTGGACCTCATGAAGCTATTTTACCCTAGTTTACTTAGTGGTAAATATGGACAGTATGTTTGTTTTACCTGAAGATTTTAAAATAAAGTTTTATTAGTCTGTTGGAGTTACATAATGTTACCATTATTTGTGGTGTTCAAACAATTAAGTGAAAGATTTCAAAGTGATAAAAGCAAAGCCAAAGCATTTTATATTTGTTCTCCATAAAATGTGTTTAATCTTAGGTTGGTTGAAGGAAATATTCCTAATAAAAGGCAAGATGGATCTTTTTTAGTTTTTGTTCTCCAAACCACTCTTTGGTTTGAAAA